GGGCGGAAGATGGGACAAGCTGAGACTTTAGTTTCCAGCCCCCTGACTCTGTTGACCACACAAGGCCAAGGGCCAGCGCCTGCATGGAGAGGCTACAGGTCAACCTGCCCCCCATGCCCACGGCCACCCTGTGCCTACAGTCACCCATCAGAGAGGGTGCTGGCCACACAGGAGATGGTGTACAGAGCAAGGAGATGACCTCTGCAGATGAAGGGACACAGGTTGCCCTGTCAGGGATGCCAGACCTAATCAGGGGCATGCTTGCCCGTTACAGGCCTGTGGACGGGTCCTGCTGCAGGGCCCAGCACGACAGTGTTGCCATCGCTGCTAGAAGGGCCGTTTCTAACCAGTAACCGGCCGCCGAGCCTGCTCTGCACAACACCACCTGGAACCAACCCCTTCCCAGGGCCACGCGCCTCACAGCAAGCCTACAGGCTGAGCAGGGCAGCTCAGGGGGCGCAGGGCTGGGGACCCCACGGCACCTTAACTACAAACTGTACCACCAGAACAGAACCAGCCACGGCCACAAGTCCCCCTGGCACACAGCCACACAGCCAGGCAGGGTAGAGCTGCTCCCCCACCCTCGCCCGCCCATCCCTGCCCCACGTGCCCTACCTCTCCCCCTCCATGCCCACTGGCCCTGTCCGCCCTATCCGCCCTATCTCCCCGGCCCCATGCCCACCCAGCCCTGTCCAACCAACCTCCTGCCCATGCCCACCGCTGCGCCCTGCCGGCCTACCTTCCCGCTTCATGCCCATGGCCAGGCACTTCTGGTAGCGGCAGTACTGGCAGCGGTTGCGCTGGCGCTTGTCGATGAGGCAGTCCTTGTTGTCCCGGCAGGTGTAGGTCAGGTCCTTGCGCACCGTCCGCTTGAAGAAGCCCTTGCAGCCCTCGCAGCTGTACACCCCGTAGTGCTTGCCTGGGGCGGGCGGGGCGGTGAGTGCCCACCCTGCGCACAGTACGCCCCCCCCAGCTCTCTGCCACATGCCCCCCCGCCCCCCGCCTGCTGCAGGCCCGGGCTGGGCCCCCGCGAGCCGCTACCTGAGGAGCGGTCCCCACAGATGGCGCAGATGTGCTTGGTGAAGGGCGCCATGCTGCCCGAGGGGTGCGCGGGCACCTTGAGGACGCCATTGAGGCCCAGCGGGGGCTTGATGTCCTCCGTGCTGCTAACCAGGTTCATGGGCGAGTTGAGCTGCAGAGGGAGGGGCAGAGGCGGGGCAGGGTGGGCGATGGGCAGGCGGCACACGGGGAGGCCCCGGGGCTGGGGTCGCTGTGTGCCCCCGCCCTCCCTGCTGGAGGGGCCCACTCCCCACCTCTCACCAACACCTCCCTGCGGGGCACCCGAGCACCCATGAGGAACCCAGCCTGGGCGAGGTGCACCCTCTTGGGGGCAAGCTGGGGGCCTCCCCAGGCTAAGGACACTGAGCCCCCTTAATTTTCACAGCCAGGGCCCCCACCCACCCATGTGCACGCTTCCCCAGGGGCACCCTGAAGGGGCGGGGTCTGGGGTCTCCGTGCAGGGGACAGCCCTGCACCGGGCTGGCATGCTCCGTGGGAGGCGGCGTGGGAACCTGGGGGTCGCTAGGCAACGGGGTGGCCATGAGACGGCAGTTTTGGCCTCCCCGAAGCCTGTCTCCAGCCAGCGCCAGGGCCTGCCGCCAGCCCCATCCTTGGGCGCCGAACCCCAGCTGGGCAGCCCCCACCCCCACTTCTGCAAACCCCAGTGAAGGCGGAACTCACAGGCAGGCCGAGGAAGCCTC